TCTCGTGGCCTCGCCTCACTGTGGTCCCCCAGTCTGTCTGGCGGTTGTGGTCGCTGCCCTTACAGCCCCATCAGCACAGGTTGCCTGTGCTGACATAAGAGCACCCTGTGCTCCTGGGCCAGGTGTCCAATAACCAATGGCGTGTGTGCCCCGCCCACACCCGTGGGGCCCTGGTCATTCATGCAGGCGGGAGGCCTGAAGGGCCTGGTGACTTCGTTTACCCTACACGTGGATGTGGAATCATCTGAAAACTTTAAAGCAGCCCTATGGAAATGCTCAAACCAGCAATTGCCAACAATGTCAGGGAGAGAAGAGAAGATATAAAAACGATATAAATTGAAAATGTTAGAACTGAAGTACGGTAACATTGGTTGGCTGTATGAAAAGTGCCGCTCCAGGGCAGGATGTTGAGAGCACGGGGACTGTGAGGTGTGGGGGCAGAGGTTGGAGGCTTTATGCTTTCTCCTCAATTTGTTATGAACCTTAAAACTTGTATAAAATATAAAGGATATTGAAACTATATATCAAGAAATGAGAAAACTAAAATTAAAGGTCACTGAAATGGGTTTGATAATAGAAAGATTATGGTAGATTATTCACAAGCACCAAAAAACTGGAACAACCCAAACATCCTTCCGTGTGTAAATGGATGAAAAATGATACACACCATCCAATACTACTCAATAGGAAATAGATAAAACCTCTTGATGCACTCAACAACCAGGTGAGGCTTAAAGGGATATGCAGAGGGGAAAAAAAGTCTGTCTCAAAAGGTTGCCTATTGCATGATTCCCATGTGTATGACCTTCTTCCAGACAAAAGGTTAGCAACTGAAAATTGCTCAGTTCTTAAACTTTGCAGTGAAGGAGCGTGTGACAAAAGATTTAACAGAAGGGAATTGTTTTGGTTTCTCTGTAATTTTATTGTGTGGTGCATCTGTAAATCTATCCCAGGATGGACCAATAAGTTTCTTCCCCGACCCTGCATTCCAGCAGCACCGCCATTCTTGCTCTCCCTGGACACTCCAGACATGGTCCCTCCCAGGACGCTTGCAATCACTCATCTTCTAGTCTGGAACAATCCACACCCAGAGGTCCATACTCGTTGCCCCCTCACTAATCCCCCTTAAGAAATTTGACCAATGCTCACTCAGAATATAAGTTTTTCACCTATATTTCATTATTAAAATAATGTCATGTGGTCTGTTATAGGTACACAGGGAACTGGGAAATGTGACTGAAAAAACATGGCATATTGGCTCCAATAAAATTAGCATCATTTAGTAAAAAAAAAAAAGAAGAGTGAATGGTTTTTACAAAAGGCAAACATTAGGGTCTGCCACTGTCCTCCAGGGGAGCAGAGACTGCCTGATTGTTCACTGGTTTCTCCCTGGCACCTACCGCCATGCCTGGCACAGCGTATCTTAAAAACTCTGGAATAAATTACTGTCATCTCACTGGTTCTCTGAAAAATAATAGACAAAACCCCTATTCAAAAGAGGACATTAAAATTCACATCTTTGTATTATTAATTAAAATAACTTTTGATGAAAGAGGTTTAGTCAAAGAGATAAATTCCTTCGCCCACTAAGGTAACAGAAATGAGGGTTTTTCCAGATGAGGGAGTTGTGTTGGGGCAAGGGAGAATTCCCCCCTCCCCATCTGGGTTCTTCTAAAACTAAATGGATGAGCAAATTCACAACAGACAGATTCGTGGGCAAACAGACCAAAATTTAATAGCATGTGTGTGGAATATTACATGCTTATGAACTCTGAAGAATAATGGTGTGAGCCTGTGATGTTTACTCTGTGTTTAGGGCCCTGAGGCATCAGGAGAGCGGGGGAGAGACATCCCATGCTGGGCGGATGAGAAGGGGTGACTCAGCTTCTCTCTGAGAGTAAAGGTGAGATTCTTGGGGAGCAGACATGGTCACTGTACACGTGACCAGGATGGTTCCCTCCAAACTACTGACACATTCTTGTGGGCTATAAAAGGGGGAGCCGTGATTACTTCTTTTATCAGGAAAAGGAAAAGGACAAAAAGCTCCTAAGTCCTCATGACTCTTACTTTAAAATATTCTGCACTATTGAAGTGACAGTAGCAGCTTCCTTAGGCACAGGGTCTCCACGCTGGTGACATCCCTGGAGGAGACCCTCCCTGGGCGTGTGGGGAGAAGCCCACCCAACCCTTTTGGGGAGACAGGTCGGCAAAGTGGGGCTCCTGTAAGAGTGAAGAAATTGGGAGCAAGGTGTAAAAATAGAGGGAAGTTAAGCACGATGGTGACAGACAGGGCCCGAGAAGAGAAATAGCCGGGGAGAAAGTCCCTGTGACAGGAAGATGGATGACGATGCCCTAAAACCCGTGTTGCCAGTGAGTTGCTGCTTTTCTTGCACCATCAGCACCTTATGTTTCTTTTGATGACAGTGTGGGGAGAATGCTGGGGCGCAGAGGAAGAGTTTAACACAGGATGAAGAAATGTAGTTTCAGAAAAGAGAGCTGAGAGGAAATTGAGTATAGGAGAAACATGAGTTTAATGAAAATGACCATTAAACACAGAGCCCCGCCCTGTCCCTGACATGGGATACAGAAATATTGGTGGAAAAGAAGACTGCACAGATTCCCAACTGTACATAGCAGTTTAGCTAAAAATGAAAGGGTAGATGTATTAGAGTGGTCCAGACAAATAGTCCTGTAGATTGTGTGTGTGTGTGTGTGAGTGTGTGTGTGTGTGTAAATGATTTTTTTATAAGTATTACAAGGAATTGGCTGACATAATCACGGCAACTGACAACATACTTTGACTTAGGTTGTCCTTTTAGTCATTTCTCCTTTCAAGCTCTATGTTTACCTTCAGTCTCCAAATCAAATCCCACCTCTCTAGGAAGTTCTCTCTAACAGCTTCAGCTTCGGTTCATTCCAGTGGCGCCCCAAAAAGGGAACAACAGAAAAGTTGTCAGAAGTGAAAGTGTCCTTTGTTTATTTTTTGTTCTTCCTTCTGTTTCCCTTTTTCGTTTGTTTCTGTCTCCTCATCTCATTACTTAAAAAAGAAAATCAGCACACACATCACTCTACATTGTCCTGTTTTATCACTATTGCTTTATAGATTCCCCAGCTACTTTACCAAGTAAAGGAGGGCAAAGAACACAGCTCACCTTTTTTTTCCTACGTCACCCACAGCACCTAGTAGAGTGTTGAATATTTAATGAACAGTATTTGCCTGAGTTACTTGTTTTAATAAATGTTCACAATAGTTTTAGAGCGGGTGTTTTACAGAAGCACAGAGAAATCAAGTGTCTAAAAACTAATATATCTATAAACTGGTTTTCTAAGTTAAAATATCTCATACAAAGTAGACAGAATTGCCAAATGCATTGTCAATATAATATTCTTTGTCATGTGAGAGAAAAATTCATATCAGGATATTTTCTAGCTGTGTTAATTTTAGACATCTTTATGATTTTATTGTCTTTCTAGACATACCCTTCAGCTATTTCGATCAATAAAAATTGTATTGGTAATACTAAAATATTTTAACAGGGAACTCCCTGGTGGTGCAAGGGGTTAAGACACAGCCTATGAAGCTGTCTGCAGCCACTGCAGCATGAGTTTGATCCCTGCCCAGTTTGAACCCTGCAGCAGACCTCTCCTGACGCACCCGCTGCTTCCCTCCGCAGTTTATTTCCGTCAGTCTTCCTGTTCTGTTCCCCACTCTGTCTCTGGTGCATCATCTCACCCCCCACACCTCTGGCCTGTACCCCAGACCTTGTATGCATCAATAAATAAATCTTTAAAAAAATAAATAAAATAAAATATTTTAACACTGTTAGTGAATGTCATTCTTGTTGTAGTCACTGAAAATATGCCATGCAAATTTATGTTTCACCCAACAAAAATTTTTGAAAACAGATTGACATTCAAAAATCAACAAATGCTTCCTTCTCAGAGTATTGAAATTATTGACTACATTGGGAACAATAATAGAGCAAATTAAATTTGATTTTATTTCCAAGATTCGAAAGGGACTAGAATTAAACTACTTGAAGGATCACTGATTATTGAATCCTATGCATTCTGACAAGAAATCCTCTCATGCCAGAAAAAATATGCATACGAGTTTGACATTGAGACTTCAAGAGAGCAGAGATGACCTGGGTAATTCTATCAGCATCTCAGTATGTGAGCTGGAAACACTAAGTTTATAGCTCACAGGGACCCTTAGGTTGAAGGACTAAATCTCTCCAAGGGCAAAGTCAAAGAATATACTAAACACGAGGAGGGTTGGTTGCTGATGAGAGAAAATCTCCCACAAGTCATATTCTTTTTGTATTATATGGGCCTTTTTAAGAGAAACTTGATTTGACATAAAGTTGGGAGCTCGGTATTGCAATGATTGAAAAGTTTCGCAGAGTTCAAAGGCAGGAATGCACTGGAGTTCTGGAAGGAAGTGAAACTTGCAACTAAGCTGCCAGATTCTAGGAAATGCTCTTGGTCAAAATCTGCTTCTCCTTTTTGCATTTCCTCCTGTCTCCTTTCTCCCTGAAGTTTGCCTCTCTCTGGTCTTCACTTCACAAAGTGGGCTATAGTGGAAGGCCACATGAAGTGGCAAGATTTATTCTTGTACATAATGTTGAAATTCCTGGATGAGACCATAGTTGACCAGTTAGTTCATGTTGCCAGAACTTCAACAATTAACAGTGGCCAGGGACCATCTTACCTGTCATCCATTTTACTGCCTGAAGACAGCTTCTGTGATTTTTCTTGTAACAGGATGCTTGAATATAATTTTGAAGTGCTCAGTTTTGAAATCTGCCCTAAATTTCCTTGTGGAAAGTGTCATAACTAAGTATACATAGTACACAAAATATGTCTAACATAACAAAAAAGAATTTGTTCCACCCTTACTCCCTTGTCTGCTCAACAGTCAAATTACATTTTTGATAGAGGATTGTAAAATGGGCAATTTCCACAGAAGAGTCATGAGTTTGCTAGATACTCTAGAAGTAGACGTTTATTAGATATACAATTTGGATATAGTTTGCAGTTAAAATTTATTTCTTTGGGAAATGAAATGTCATGAAAATGTCATACAATGTTATGAGAATAAGCTGAAATGAAAACTAATATGGTCATATTACATTCGACAAAAATATTAAAATTGCAAGGAATCATAAAAAAGACAAACATGTGCTAAACAGTATTAAGTAAAAAGGCATTATACAAATTTTATGATATCATTTGTAGAAGCTTGAAAACATCATCTCAATTTCAGTGATTCCTGGGTTGTATGATAATGGACAATTACTGTGTACTTTTTCATTAATACTGGAACTGTTATTAATGACTACTGCTATTTTAATAATTTAAAAAGTTTTTTTAATAAAGAGAAGGTGCTATCCCTGTAGTAGGAATAGCACTAGAACAGGGGAACAATGTCTTTATTGCTGACACGAATCAATAGTGATACATTACTAATGTGTCACTAGAAAAGGGTAAGAGCAGAGTGTGGTGCTGGATGAGAGCAATGCTGAAGAATATTCAGGCCTTTTAAATAAACTTTCCAGTTGAATATCCGATTATTCCCGTACCTTTAATTGAAAAGGTTTTCCTTGACCCCAATGCATTACTTTGCTGTGTTTGTTAAAAAATTAAGTGATTGCCCAAGTGTATCTATTTCCGGACACTTAATCTGTTCTGTTGATGCCTGTCAGGACTTAGGCCAGGATCACACTGTCCTGATTAATGCAGCTTTAGTAAATTTTGAATTCAGGTACTGTAAATTTTGCAATTTGTTCTTTTTTAAAAGGAAAAGGTATATATGTGCATTCATTTGTGTTTTCTGCAGCCAACCTCAGAGAGGAAATGTTCGGAGGCTTTGCAAGTAGCTGAGTGACTGAAACTGTTCCCGGTTTTGCTGCTGTCACAGCCTGGCAGGGAAGATGAAGACCTGGACCCGGGCGCCGATCTAAGCTTTGAGTGTGGCCATTTGTCAGGTCTTTCGGCAGCTGCAGCAGCTGTTTTGAGTGTCACTTGTCTTGTGCTGTGCTGGGGCATCTCGGCAGCTCCGTTGAGCATCTCCTGTTGTGTCTTCTGCTGTCTTCGTGAGTTGGATCCCGGCCTATAGTCTGGCAGCCACGTGCTCCAGGCCCTCAGTGGCAGGAAGACGCTAATTGGGAACATTTGTGTTTAGGACTTTACAACACTGGACACTGCTTCATGTGAGGTAAACGGCCATTTGTGGTCTCAGGAACTCTTTGTTTTTCCCTGGTTTTTAAATACACCCCATTATTGTTGTCCTCTGAGGCTGAGTGGTCTTGTAATTGTGTGCACGAGGGAAGAACTCAGACTGGTAAACTATTTGGGCACTGTCCTTGGCCAGCTTTAGTGCCTCTTTTGCCCCGTATCATCTTTATTTTGCTCTTTTCCTTTCAGTCTTGCCTGGCCACTTCTGCCCCTCTCCTATGGGTCTCCACCAGAAGGTGCCTTAATCTTGTTGTAAGCTCTCAGGCCTCAGCGGTCCTGCTCTGGGCCAACCCTGTTTGGCTGGACATTTACACCCAATGGAATGGTAACGTTGGGTGTTTCATTTAGAAACTACTTTAACTATAGTCTTTCTATTCTCTTTATTGCACACTAAGTGTACTGAAGTCCTCTTCTATTGAAGACCTTATGCATTAGAGTAAATTAAATAAAGAAATTAATTAATGAATTAATTAAATAAATCCCAGTTCCAGGTCTTTACCTTCCCTTCCAGGCTCTAACAGCAGCAAAGATGGGAACAGGTGAAGAAGCTGTGATTGCTTCTCAACCTTGGACATGTGCCAGAGACTTGGGGGGACATGGAAGGAGACACTGGAAACAGACATGGGTGAGAGACCTGTGGGGAGATTACAGTGGCAACATTTATCTTGATTTTGATTTTGTTCTTTTCCTTCCAGACTTGTCTGGCTCTTTCTGCCCCTTTCCTATGGGTCCCCACCAGAAGGTACCTTACTTTTGACAGGTTTTGGGGCTCAGTGTCCCTGTTTTGGATCAAACTGTTTGGTTGAGGTGACCCATAAGGGGATGGGTAAATTAGGGTGCTTGATTGGGAAACATATTCTCTATTCTGTCCCTTCATTCTCTTTCTTACACAGTGATTGTATTAAAGTTCCTTCCCATTTAATGTCTCATGTACTAGAGTATGTTTTGTTTTCATGTGGCTGATGGCAGAACCCATTTAGCGTGGGCAGGTTTGGGAGTCCTGGGTCCCTCACCCTGCCTGGTAACAGAACCTCCCTTTACTATGGATATCACACTGTTACAGTCCTGCCCATAGGCAAAAAAAAAAAAAAAAAAAAGGAGGGTTTCCCAAAATATCCAAAATACACCTTTCATATGGTCAAGTATTCCATTCCTTGGTATATATCCAAAGGTAAAAGCACTAATTCCAAAGGATATGCGCCTCCTGTGCTCACTGCAGCCTGTGCACAATAACCAACTATGGAAACACCTCAGTGCCCAATGACAGATGAGTGGGTTAAGAAGAGGTGGTAGACAGACACAATGAAATACTACTCAGCTGTGAAAAGTTATATTTGCAGCAACATTGACAGATGTGGAGGGGATTATGCTAAGTGAAATAAGTTAGAATGAGAAAGTCAACTACTGAGTGATGTCACTCATTAGTGGAATATAACGTAACCAAGCAGGGACAGATGAGACTAAACCAAAACATACTCTAGAAATATGAGGCTATGTGGGAGGGGAGGGAGAGGGTGTGATGTAGGAAACAAAGTGGGAAGAGGGCCCAGTGACGGTGGTGAGGACTATGGGTGCCCTTAGGTGGGTGTGAAGTGGTAACAAACACCTGAAGAGGTGTGACCCTGTGCCTCTGCACACATACAGTATGTAAACCCATGTTACCTCAGTAGAAATAATACAATCATGGCTGGGGGGAGAAACTATCTTGAGCAAAAGAAAATTGTCTTTTCCATCCATCACTGACCTGAGGACTTTGCCTTCGCCTCCTCACTGTCATGCACGCTGAGGGGCTGGTTTCCCACAAGGGCAGAGGCTGGAGGTGCAGGGACTCCTGGGGCTGCTCAGAGACTGCTGAGTAGAGACACTGCAGAGAGGGCGGCTCTTGAGGGGAACCAGAGACAGAGAGTCAGAGTAACCCCCACTGCTGAATGAGGGTCTGGTTCCCTAGGGGAGGGGAGTATGTGTGTGTGTGTGTGTGTGTGTGTGTGTGTGTGTGTGTGTAACAGGAGAGACAGGGCACACAACACAAGAAAATGGGGGAGAATTATACATCAAGTCCCAGCATAAATAAATTCAAATCTCACAGAGAAGGAGAATGTCAGCAAAACATCTCAATAAGTACAGTTCCATGAAGAAGCTGTCTTTGAGCAGGATGTGAAGAAGCACTGGGTCTCAGAATAGAAGAAAGTTTAGAAATATGTTGTGGTTGGACTGAGCTGAAGGAGCTGGGTAGGACCCCCTTGAGGCCCCTGCTAGGATGTGGTTGCACCTGACAGCTCCCTCCCCCTGACCCCAATGTTCACTTCAAGTTCTTCTTCTTTGGGGTCACTGTAGAAAGCACACAGGCCTCAGAGTCAGGGAGCTCCAGCATGGCACCCCCTCTGTTTTCCAGGGGGGTCACTGCCTCCATGGGCTGCAGCTACTTTCTCTCTAGACCAGAGCTGGAGGGAGTCCCACAGCGGGAGGGAGAAATCTGTGTCCTGCTGGCCTGGCCCAGGGGCAGGATTAGCCCAGGTCACCCCAATTACTGAGCTGAGCCTCTGTCTACAGTACAGGAAGGGAGGGAGAGATGGGCAGGGTCCATCAGCTCTTGGAAGATGTAATGTTACTCCAGGGTAACACTCCATGTGCAGCAGGGAAAGGATCTCAGATAAACCCAGGCTGGTTTCCCCACCTCCCTCCCACTATAATGTCAGGATGAATCTCCTTGTATTCATGGCCACACTGGAGGGGAGCACAGACAGACAAGCATTGTTACTGTGTTTGTTACCAGGATTGGAGGTCAGACTTTTTTTTTTTACTGTAAAAGTTCTTTTACTTTTATTTTTTAATTAATTTATTTATATATATTTTACATCATTGTTCCTTTTTAAACAATGTTTGTTTGTTTTTTCCTCCTCAGGTGTAGTCCCCATAGAAGTTCCTCCACCAGTGCAACCGTGCACCATCCCCACAGCTCCCTGTGCGCCTCTCTCCCTTAGGCTCCCCTGAAGGATGTCTCTGGTTTATAATTGTCTGTTTTGTTTTGTTTTTTGTTTTGCTTTGTTATGTTTTGTACTGTTATTATTTTTCCCCTACGTCTTATTTGTTTCCCCTATATTCCTCCTATATGTGAAGCCATCTGTTCTTTCTTTTCCTTCTGACTTATTCACTGAGCATAATTCCTTCTAGCTCCTTCCACGTTGCTGCAAATCGGATGAGTTTGTCTTTTTTCATCACTTAGTAATATTCTATTGTCTAAATATACCAAAACCTTTTGACTCATTTGTTGATTTGGGGGTATTGGGTTTGTTTCCATATCTTGGCTACTGTAAATATTGCTGAAATAAACATAGCAGTACAGTTTTCCTTTTGAATTAGTGTTTTTATGTCCTTTGGGTAGATTCTAGGAATGGAATTGCTGGATCATTAGGTAGATCCATTGTAGTAATTTGAGGGTCCTCCACACAGCTCTGAATAATGGTTGGGCCAGTTTGCATTCCCACCAGCCATGCAGGAGAGTTCCTTTTTCTCCACATCCTCTCCAACATTTGTTGTTTCTGTTTTTTTCATTTTTAATGTGGGCATTCTCATGGGACTGAAGTGTACCCCATCTTCTTGATCCATTCAAGATCCCCTGATTTAAAATACGATGAGAAAATACTTCACACCTGTGAGAATGGCCCATATCAAAAAAAACAGACCTAACAAGAGCTGGTAGGACATGGAGACAAGGGACGGTCCTGCACTGATTTGGGGAATATAGACTGGTTCATCCCTGTTGGAAAACAATGTCCAGTTTTCTTAGAAAATTAACTGAGCATCTGCCGTAGGACCCAGCAGTCCCATTCCAAGGTATCTACCCTGCCTCAGACGCCCATGAGAAGTTCTCAGCTATGAATTGGATTCGAAGTCTAAATGAATTAGCAGCAGGGGAGGCTGGAGAGAAGCCTCTAGAGCAGCTCTGCCTCTCACTCTCCCAGCCCAAGCTCTTATTAAAGATATGAACAAAGGGATAAGGAAACAGCGTGCAATTGTGTTTATACTTATACACATGAATAAGTTATTGCTGGAACAAGTTTTTCTAGTTAGTAGGGATCATGCACACAAGTCAGCATGTCCTCAGGGAACAGGAGTTAATTTGGGGAAGAAGTTCTGCTTGCAGAACTTCTAACCTCCTGGAACCTCCTGTGCAGAGTAAGCAGGTGCTCTCAGAGACTCCGGCTCCCTTAGGGCGGCAGGCACCAGCACACCTTCAGAGGATGTTACACTACTTCACAGGAAAACTGCACCCCCTGATCACTGCAGCACTATTTACAGTAGCCGAGCTGTGGAAGGGGTTGTACATAGATAATAGAATATTACTCATCAAGAAACATAAACTCATGCCATCTAGGGCAACACGGATGGAGCTAATTGAAATAAGCCTAATGGAGAAAGACAAATGTATCACTTAGATGTGGATATACAGAAATTAAACAAAGGGCTAGATTAAGCCAAACTTAAAAGCTATCCCTTGAGTCTCCCAGGCGGTGCCTGACTGCTGACTGGGTCTGCAGACCAGCCAGGCTTCTTGGCCCACCAGTGCTGGGTGGACTGACCCTCTGTAGTTTGGCATCAAACTCATTTGACGACAAAGCCTGACTCCCGCTGACTAAGTCCCCGATAGTGTTTTGTTGCACCTGTACCACCACTGGGTCCCCAGCCTCTGCTGTTTGCTGGGTCTGAGATGGATCTTGTACCTGATGCTGCAGGGTATTCTTTTTTTTTGTTTTTTTAAGATTTATTTTTTATTTATTTATGCATATCAGAACTGGGGTGTAGGCCAGAGGTGCAGAGGGTGAGAGGATTCACCAGAGACAGTGTGGGGAGCCAAACAGGCCAATTCACTGAAACCACTGCTGAGGGGAGCGGTGGGTGAGACAGACGAGGTCTGCTGCGCCATGTGGGTAGCTCCCTGGCAGGGGGTCAAACTCAGTTCCACACAGTGATAACACTGATACTTAACCCTGATGCCATCAGAGAGGCCTTGTTTTTAATTTATTTTTTACATCTTTTGATATTATTTAAAATAATAGAAGGGGACCAGTTTGTGCTCCTGCTTCTCTGCTTTCATAATATACACACTCCATCCTGCCAGCACAGGGCTCAGGTTGGGTTTACACGTGTGTTTGTCACGTTTGCTCAGTGTCCATCTCTCCTGACAGTGCAAGCTCCACATCTCCAGGGTCCTCTGTCTGCTCTCCATTGTATCTGCAGGGGAGGCAGCTTGGGGAGGCAGGAGCCAGCCAGGGAGAGGGATGCTGGGAAGTGATGAAGAGAACACTTGGGAGATGCTCCCTGGTTCCCTCAGAAAAGCATTTCTCAAAGTGTGGTTGTGGAATCATTGAAGTCACCCAGAACTTGTCACAAGGTCCATGAGGTTAAAACTATTTTCAAAATGTCACTTAGACACCATTTGTCTTTTCACTATTCTGACATCTGCTGAGGTAAAACTTAGTAAAAATGGAGCTTATAGTACTAACTGCAGTAGTAGTTAATATTCACCACTTCTTACCTCAGAAGCACAATTCCAAGCCAGTTTCATTTCAAAGTGTCTTGGCTGAAACACTGAAAATTATCTTCATTATTTTATAATCCTCAAATCCACATTTTACAGCACCTGATATGATGACATGCAAGTGCACACAGAGCACTTCTGCTGCGTTCCCAACTACCACGTGCCAAGGAACATATTTGCATGAGATGAATTAGACTGTTTTTCTTTTTTCGTAGGCAATACCACCTTCACATGAACGAATGAATGACAAAAACTGTGGCTATTTGATTTGGTTAATGAGCAGACATTGTCCTGAAAATGAGTGTGTGCTCCTTTAAGAAAATCAACTGACAATTGATAACTGAGAGTAACTTCACCTTGACAAAATGTAAGCGCTCAGAAAAAAACAGAATATGGAAAATTGTGTCCTATCACTAACTTGACAATTTCCAGTACTACTTTTACTTTTGGGATTTGTGGTGAAAAATAAAATGAATTTTTTAAAATAATTTTATTCCAGTGTAATGAACACTGAAGAGCTTTTTAACTTAGTGAAACAATACATTACTTAAAAAATTCACACATTAGGGCCTCCCCTGGTGGCGCAGCAGTTGAGCGCTGGGCTGCAGAGCTGCCCACAGCCTCTGCAGTGCCAGTTCAATCCCTGGCCGCCAGCGAGGGTCCCCAATGGTGCACAGACCTCTCCGGCCGCGCCTGCTGCTCCCCTCAGCAGTGTATTTCATCAGTCTGCCAATTCTGTTCCCTGCTATGGCTCTGGTGAATTATCTCACCTTCCCACGCTTCTGACTGTACCTAGTGCTTATATAAATAAATAAATAAATCTTTAAAAAAAATCACACATTAGCACAAGACCCCATTAATATGCAAGAGAGGACTATGGAAATGTAACAGAATAAGAAATATTCAGTGATATTGTTTCAGGTTGGACTTCGCAAGTAACCTTTGAGAAAATACCACCTATATAGTTTTAATTTAGTATCGAAGTGGAATATTCATATTATGTGAATACTACTCCAACATACTTGTGTGAGGCTGTATACATTTTTCATAGACTTCAACCAGAACCACAGACTAAATGCAGAAGGAGGGCCTCCCTGGTGACTCCAGGGGTTAAGCACCACGCTGTGAAGCAATCCGCAGCTTCTGCAGCACAGAGTCCCATCCCAGGCCAGCCAGGGAGCAACCAACATGGCTCAGCAGACCTCTCCTGACTTTCCTGCTGCTCCCCTTGGCAGTATATTTCAGTCAGTCCACCTGTTCTGTTCCCCGCTCTGTCTCTGGTGAATCCTCTCATGCCCTGCATCTCTGCCATGTACCCCAGCTCTTGTATGCATAAATAAAAATAAAATCTTAAAAAAAAATAAATGCAGAAGGGAACATGAAAATCCTACTGTCTTCTAATGAGACAGACAAGAAAGACAATTGCAAAAATAAAAAATGTAAAATATCCACTCTTCTTATTGCCATGATTATTTTCAGAAATAAGTTACTTTTCTTAAGAACACTTTCTATAAACACGTATTGGATTATTACTATTATTCTAAATGAAATAGCTACACGATTAAACTCAGCTTTATTCCCAGTGTGGTAAATATGGGGAGCGATACCTCCTAAACAAGATTATACTTGGCGTCCTCCCTAATTTGTCAGACTGGACACGGATCCGGGAAGGAAAATGACTGAGAATCGCAGACCCAGTGCTTGGGTCATGGAGACAGGGTGAGGAAGCTTTGGGTGAGGACAGGAGGGGCCAGAGCAAAGCCCCAGGTCCCTAGTCTGGTTCTCATAGTTCCAGGCCCCAGGGCTGTGTCCAGGGCAGGAAGGTTACTGTTGGGGATACCCCACTACCCCCTTAGCCTCCCTTCTGTCTCCACCACCTGTGCTGGGCCCTGGACACTTGTGACTCCTCCCCAGTTCTCAGTTCCAGTGCCTGAGGTTCCCAGAGAACCAGTCAGCATCACTGCCTGCCCAGGTAAGTCTCCACCCACCAGCCTGGAGTCAGAAGCTCCCCAGACCCCAGCAGTGCTGGTCATGGGGCCCCCAACCCTCCTCCTGCTGCTTCTCTCCAGGACTCTGGCCCAGACAGACACCTGGGCTGGTGAGAGCAGGGTGGAGGGAAAAGGCTTCTGCAGAGGAAGCTGCCTTAGGCCCCTCTGTCACCCCCGTGGCGCCCCTCAGTCCTAGTCCCTTTCTGTCCCCCCACCCTGCCTCCTCCTTTTGTCCCCTGAGTCTTGCCCCTTCTGGACCCGCTGCCCATGTTCAGTCTCTGGAGCTCCCTCCCTCCTGGACACTTTCTCCCCTGCCCCATCTCCCTGGGACTCAGGACCTGCCCGGGAGGAGGGTCCGCCCGGCTTTCACCCCTCCCCGCCCCAGGCTCCCCCTCTCTGAGGGTGTTAGAAATGGTGATGTCCCGCCCGGCCTCGGGAGCCCCGGTGCATCGCGGGGCTACGTGGACGACACGCAGTTCGGGGTTCGACAGCGACTCCCCGGCCAGAGCGCGGAGCCGCGGGCCCCTGGGCGGGCGGGCGGGCGGGGGAGGGTCGGGCGAGGAGACGCGGCTCCGCAGACACTCGGCGCGGAGGCTCCAAGCGCTCCTGGAGGCCCCGCGCGGCCGCCGCAGCCAGAGCCGGGCCGGGGAGCAGCGCGGGCCGGGGCGGGTCACCGCTCCCGCCCCACCCCCGCCCCGAGTCTCGGGGCCCCGTGACCCCCGAGGCCGTGGCCCCTGCCAGGCCCCTTGACCAGGAAGAGCCCGCGGGACTTTCACCTTTAGGTTTTATTTAAGTTTGGGATTATTCAGGGCGGGAGATCGGGTGCGGGCGGAGACCACGGGGTGACTGAAGGGCGGGCTCAGGGTCTCCCACGGTCCAGAGGACTCTGGGCTGCGCCGCGGGGCCCGACGGCGCCTCCCCCGCGGGCACGACCAGCTCCCCACGACGGCGCCGGGGACGCGCCCTGGGCGGGGACCTGCGCGCCTGGACCCGGCGGGCCCGCGGCTCAGCTCCCCGGCGCGAGGGGGAGGGGGAAGGTCGGGCAGAGCAGGACGGGAGCAGCCTGGGGGCGGGTGCGTGGAGGGGCCCCCAGACTCCTGGGGATGGGGAAGGAGGCGCCGCAGCTCAGAGGTGAGAGGGCTGCGGGGCTTTGATCTCCCTGAGGCGCGCACCCCGCAGGGAAATGGAATCAGGGTGAGGAAGCGCCCCCTTCTGGCCAGAGAGGGAGCTGTCGGCCACGTTTTCCAGCTCTGGGATGGAGACTGGCCAGGAGGCTCCTACTTTTTCTGTAGGACAGTTAAGGAATCCAGTTTCTCCTGAGAAAGAGGGGAGACCACCCCTGAAATCACCCTTCACAGGATCCTTTTGACCGGCAGCCATCATAGGAACAATGAGTTTCTCTGTCGAGATCTTGTTTTTTGGTCAGAGAGCATTTTTGGAGATCTCACTCCTGCCTGTCTGTGTCATCACCCTCCACCCAAGTCAGCAACAAAATGCTTAAAGACCTGCATCCCACCCAGGGCTCTCACCTGCTATCCCAGACTCCCAGACGAGGCTGGTTTCTGGGGTTTGTGCCCCTCCCTCCATATTCACCGTTCTGTCCACTGCAGGATGGTCACATGAGGCTGCTTCAGTGTCCATGGAGGAAACACAAAGCACGAAATTTCTGATTCTTCCCACTCAGGCCCCCAGTCGCCATATGTGACCCATCACCCCATCTCTGGGCATGAGGTCAACCTGAGGTGCTGCGCCCTGGGTTTCTACCCTGCGGACATCACCCTGGCCTGGCAGAGAGATGAAGAGGACATGGCCCCAGGAAATGGAGCTTGTGAACATCAGGCCAGGGAGGGGGATGGAAACTACCAGAAGTGGGCAGCTGTGGAGGTGTCTTCTGGAGAGAAGCAGAGATACACATGCCATGTGCAGCATGAGGGGCTGATTGCACCCCGAGTCCTGAGATGGAGTAAGGAGGGAGATGTGGGCACACGGCTGACTCAGGGGCATCAGAAGGATGCCCTTCTCCCTTCTGGAGACCTTCAGAGGGTCAGACTGAGGCCTCAGGTTCAGGGTCTGACCTTCTCTTCCCTTTCAGTTTCCCCTCCTCAGTTCTCCATCCTTGCTGTCGTCCTCATTTCTGGCTTGGTTCTCTTTGTTGGTGTGCTCATTGGACACAAGGTGGCTTCATGTATGAGGGGGTAAAAGAAGTTCTCAGGTAGGGAAGGGAGTGGGGAGATCTTGTCCACTGGGGGCTTTCATGTCCCAGGGAGAACTTGCCCTGCCTGGTTAATGGGAAGTACCATCCACACACGTGTGTTGCCCAGAGGGTATTTGGTTCAATCCCCTCTCATCTCCTTTCTTCATTTTTCCCAGTCCTGACCTGGGTCTTTACTCACAGTTCTGGAAACTTCCCTGTGGTGCAGGATTAGATGATTCCTTTAGGCTTCTGACCTGACTCCTCCCTGGTCTCGCATGATACTTCTTCCCACAGGAGGACAAGGAGGAAGCTACACTCAGGCTGCAAGTAAGTGTGTTCAAGGGTTGGATCCTTGAGCCCCTGGGGACAGTGTAGATGGAGCCCATGGGGGAGTCACTCTCATCAGTTCCTTCTGTGGTCTCATCTCTGACCAAGTTTTGATGTGTTCTCCCCCAGCAGCCACAGTCCCAGTGCTCTGAAGTGTATCTCAGACCTTAAAGGTGAGACCCTCGAAGACTGCTGGGGGGCTGGGGTTTGTGGCACAGTGGCTGGGACAAGATTATGGGGATGCTTTCAGGAGGACATCCTGAGAATGCAATGGACCATTGATATTGTTAACACTGAGGTAATTCACCTGAATTTCTTCATCATTATTTTCTTTCAGGGTATTAGACAGCCTTCCGTGGGCCTGAGTGTTACAGGATTTCTTTTCGCCCATATTGTGTGGCTTTATGATCCCCTGGTTTAAACCTTCACACCTGCAAGAATGGCCCATATCCAAAAGACCAGAAACAACAAGTGCTGGCAAGGATGAAAAAAGGGGACAGTCGTGCACTGTTTTTGGATAAAGACGGAGCCAGCCCTTATGGAAACAGTACGGAGGTTTCTTAAAGAGTGAATGTGGTTCTGCCATTGGACCCAGCAATTCTACACTGAGGATCTACTCACAGAGGATAAATACTCTCCTGTGAAGGGACCTGCACTCCTGTCACCACTGCAGCACTATTTACAGTAGCCAAGCTATGGACACCACCTGAATGCCCCAGACAGGTGGGAAATTAAGAAGAAGCTGGCATTACACATGTACATATATGTACATATACAGATGACTCCAAAGGAGATGAACATTGGGGTTGGGGGAGGGAGCTGTCAGGGGTGAAGATGCCACCACATCCTAGCAGGGGCCAGGGTGGGGGGAGGGATCCTGCCCAGCTCTTTACATCTCAAGGCAACCATGAGATATTTCTAAACCTCCTCCTCTTCTTCAGGTCCAGTGCTTTTTTAGTCCTGCTCAGAAGCTACTTCTGCATGGACCTGTATTTACAGAGGTGTTGTTCTGACACACTTTACTCTGTGTGCGATTTGAATTAATTTATTCTGGGGCTGGATGTTATTTGATTTCCCATCATCTTATCCTGCCATTCCTCTTACACACACACACACACCCACATACATACTCCCCTCTCCTTGGGAACCAGACCCTCACTCAGCACTGAGGTTACTCTGACCCTCTGTCTCTGGTTCCCCTCACAGCCGCCCTCTCTGTAGTGTCTCTACTCAGCAGTGTTTGAGCAGCCCCAGGAGTCCCTGCACCTCCTGCCTCTGACCTTGAGGGAAACCAGCCCCTCAGCCTGCTTGACAGTGAGGAGGTAAAGGCAAAGTCCTGAGGTCAGTGACTGATGGAGGAGACAATTTCTTTTTACCTTCACTGTATTATTCAATTGAGGTCAGCATTGGTTTACAACACTGCATGTGTTGAGGCGAGGGTCACACCTCTTCAGATGTTTGTTACCACATCACACCCACACTAACGGCACCCACAGTCTTAACCATAGTCCATTGGGCCCTCTTCCTACTTTGTTTCCTACTCTTACCCCCAGCCCATAACTTCCATTCTGCAGTCATATATATAGAGTATGTTTTGGTTTAGTTTCATCTGTCCCTGCTTTGTTTCTTTATATTACAAATATGAAATCATCCAGTACTTAACTTTCCCCTTCAAACTTATTTCATTTAGCACAATCCCATTCATATCTATCCATGTTGTTGCAAATCCATTATTTCATCTTTTTCACAGCCGAGTAGTATTCCATTGTGTATATAGCTTGTGTTCTTTATCCCCTCATTTGCCGTTGGGCACTAAGGTTGTCTTCATCGCTTGGTTATGGTAGACAGCACTGCAGTGACCATAGGAGGCACATATTCCTTGGAATTAGTGTTTTTACCTTCTTTGGATAAATACCAAGGAATGGGATGCTTGACCATGTGACAGGTCTATTTTGAGGAACCTTCATTTTTTTTTTTTTCTATAGGGGCAGGACCAATGTGCTATCCATAGAAAAGAGAGGTTCCAGGTTACCGCCCTGCCCAAGGAAAGGTGGGGCTGAGCAGGGACGAGAAGCTAAGGAAGAGGAGGAAGACGTGGAGTGAGATGAGGAAAGGACTGGAGGAGGCGCATGGAGCAGAGAGACAGGTGAAGAAGAAACCACACTTGCTTCTCACTTGGACTTGTGCCAGGGAGCTGGGGACTTGGAAAGAGACACGTGAAAGACAAAAACGTGAATGAGAGACCCATCGGGAGGCTGACCCTTTCCCATGGGTCTCTACCAGTAGGTGCCTTAGCCTTGTGGCAGGCCTTCGGGCCCCAGTGGGCCTGCTTTGGGCCAAGCCTGTTTGGCTGGGCATTTACCCATGAGGGGACGGGTAACTTTGGGTGCTTCACTTGGGAAATATTCGAACTATATTCTTTCTCTTCTCTCTCTCTACTGCACTGATTCTCTATTTTATAGTAATTATATTAAAGTTCTTTTCCATTGAAGGTCTTATGCTTTAGAGTATGTTTTGTCTTTATGCAGCTGTTGGCAGATCCCATATAGAGTGTGCGGTTTTGAGGGTCCAGGGAACCCCTCATTCTGCCCACTAACAGGATCAGACATCATTCCCACCCACCATGTGCCAGAGTTCCTTTTCTTCCACACCCTTCAATGGGCCATTCTCACAGTGTGAGGTGGTAAGTCATTATGGTTTCAATTGGCATTTTCCTGACCGCACATGACCAGCATTTATCCATGTACCTATTGGCCACATGTGTGTCTTCTTTAGAAAAAGTACCTATTTAGCTCCTCTGCCCGTTTTGAGTTGTTTCTTGTTTTGGAGTTCTTTGTAGATTTTGGATATTAACTCCTTGTTGGATTGATGATGTGCAAATAGTTTCTCCGATTTGATATTGTCTTGTCATTTTAATGCTAGTTTCCTTCACTATGTGGAAGCTTTTTAGTCTGATGTGATTCTATTGGTTTCTTTTTGCTTTTGCTTCCTTGGAGCACAGAAGGCATTATGGGCAGTGAAAATACTCTGCATGATATTCTCATGGTGGACACAGGTCATTATACATTTGTCCAACACCCTGAGAATGGACAACACCAGAGTGAACCCTGAGAGAAATCATGACTTTGTGACTGTGACATGCAGGTCCATCACTTGTAATTGACCTGTCAGTCTGGTCTTAACATGTGATTTAGACATGATGTATGAAGAGTTTTATAAATTGAGGAATAAAGTGTAATTTACTTTAGAAAGCATATTTCATGCTCATACAAGGACATTTAAATAACACTCAAGGATACACATAAGTCATTCCCCTCCATCCCCAAGACCCTAGTCAGCCAATGTCTGCTCAAAACCAGTTAGCAATTTATCTTTTCTCTTCTAATATATCTCCATGCGCCTGTCTGGGCAATAGTGTTTGTTTTCCCATCAGTAAAGGATTTCAGGTCAGAGAGTGGGGGGAAACATTTGCAAATCACAAATCTGATAAAGGACTGTATCTACAAATAATGCCTAAAACTCAATGATCAGAAAGAAATAACCCAATTTTAATAAGGACAAAAATAATGTAATAAATGAATGGCACCTCATCTGTAAAAATGTACAAAATTTCCTTACAAACAGCAACTTTAGTCATAGAAAAGTAAAAATATGAACAGATGCTCAATATCACAGTTAAGAACAACAGTGATACCATCACACCTAGGAGAGACTGAAAATGCAAACGCTGAACAATACCAGGTGCTGTCCAGGGTGTGCAGAACAGGAATCTCATCAGGTTCATTGTAAAAGATTCTTAGGGGCTGAGAGACACATCAGAGCCCTGGGCACTGCTGCTGCCGGGTTGAGAACAAAACACACCTGGTCAGAAATGAGACCACAGGAGGGAGTGATGAGGGTGACTCTCCCATGGAGTCCATTTACACTGTCCCCAGGAGCTCAGAGATCAAACCGCTGATCCACACTTACCTGCAGCTTGAGTGTAGATTCCTCCTTGTCCTCCTGTGGGAAGAAACATCATGTGAGACCAGGGAGTGGTCAGGTCAGAAGACCTAAAGAAATCTTTTAATCCTGCAGATCAGGGAAGTTTCCAGAGCTGTGAGTAAAGACCCAGGTTAGGACTGGGAAAAAAATGAAGAAAGGAGGTGAGGGGGACCAAATGCCCTCTGGGTACCACACATATGTGAGGATGGTACTTCCCATTAACCAGGTAGGGCAAGTTCTCCCTGGGACTTGAAAGCCCCAGTGGACAAGATCCCCCCACTCCCTTCCCTACCTGAGCGTTTCTTCCTCCACATCACAGCTGCAGCCACTGCAGCTCCAGTGAGAACAGCTCCAAGGAGAACCAGGCCAGCAATGATGCCTGCGGTGGGCATGAAGGACTGAGGGGGCACTGGAAGGGAAGAGAAGATCATACCCTGAGCCCCAGACCTTATTGTGACCCTCTGAAGTTCTCCAGAAGGGCTCCTGATGGCCCTGAGAACAGCCTCTGTGCCCACATCCTCCTCCTCACCCCATCTCAGGACTTGGGGCTCCAGCAGTCCCTCATGCTGCACGTGGCATGTGTATCTCTGCTCCTCTCCAGAAGGCACCACCACAGCCACCCACTTCTGGAAGGTTCCATCTCCCCCAGGCCTGGTCTCCACCAGCTCCATCTCCTGGGTCAGGTCCTCCCCATCTCGCTGCCAGGTTAGGGTGATATCCGCAGGGTAGAAGCCCAGTGCCCAGCACCTCAGGGTGACCTCATGGTCATTGTAGGGGTGGTGGGTCATGCGTGTCTTTGGGGGATCTGAGGTGGTAAATCAGAAAATTCACTTTGTGTTTCCTCCATGGACACTGAAGAAACCTCATGAGACCATCCTCACAATGGACAAGACAACCGGTGTGGCAGGAAGAAACATAAAATGTAAAAAACAGGCTAATCTGGGGGAATCTGTGAGATTCTCCTATTCCTTAGAAAGTTCTAGAATGAGGATGAAAACCCAGGGTAGGATGAAGCAGAGGGAGTGGAACACAGACTTTTTATTCCTGACCTGGGTGGAAGGTGAATGACACAGAAAAGCAGGAATCACATAACTGACAATGTTCTCAGACCAGAAACAAGACTGAGAGAGAAACTCGTGGTTCTCAAACAGGCCCCTGGTCAAAAGGACCCGGTGACGTGTGATGTCAGGGACTGTCTGTCTTTCTCAGGAGAGACGGGATCCCTTCACTGTCCTTCAGGAGAAGCCGGAGTCTCTGGGAGTCTCTCTAGTGCAGAACATGAAACCCAGGGGAGTCCCCCTCTCGGGACTAGAGAGAGGACTCATTTCCCGCAGTGACTCCAGGCAGGGGGGGACCGGGAGGCCTCCAGGCCCCTCTTACCCGTGCGCTGCAGAGTCTCCTTCCCGTACTCCAGGAATCTGAGCAGCCACCTCAAGCACCTGCCCTCCACAAAGTTCCTGAATCTCTCTGCCTCACCCTGGGCCTCCCACTCGCGCCGGGTGATCTGAGCGGCCGTGTCCGCCGCGGTCCAGGAGCGCAGGTCCGGGTTTAGGGCCAGGAAATCGGTGCCGTCGTAGGCGAACTGCTCATACCAGCCGAGGAGGCGCCCGTCGGGCCCCATGTCGCAGCCGTACATGTTCTGGAAGGTGTGAGAGCCTGTCCCTGCCCCGTCACCCTGCGTCACCCCGCCCGCACCCCCTCCCGCCCGGAATAAACTAAAACAAAATGAAATGGGGTGGAAGTCCCGCGGGCTGTTCCCGGGCAGGTTGCAGAGAAGCCTGGAGGGGGAGACCCTGAGCGACCCCCGTGGGTGGGGATGGGGGTGCTGACCCGGCCCGGACCCGCGCCAGCTCACCGGTCTCGCTCTGGTTGTAGAGGCCGCGCAGGGCGTCCAGCTGCGCTCGGAACCACTGTGCGCTGTCCCTTAGGATCCGCGTCTCCTCCTCCCACTCCTCCTGCTTCTCCTGCTCCACCTGCCCCGCCCAGGGCGCCAGCGGCTCCGCGCTCTGGCCCGGAGAGTCGCTGTCGAACCTCCCGACCTGCGTGTCGTCCACGTAGCCCACGGAGATGAAGCGGGGCTCCCCGAGGCCGGGCCGGGACATCGCGGTGGAGAAAAACCTCAGGGAGTGGGAGCCTGGGGGCGGGAGGGGAGACCCGGGCTATTCTTCTCCCCTTCGGGGGCTCGAGTCCCAGGGGGCGCCCACGAGACAGAAAGTGGGTGAAAGACGAGTGAGAGTGAAAAGCGGCTGCGGGACGAAAATGGCCGGGACTCGGGGGGCCAGAGGAGGCTGGGGTCTCGGGGGACGGAAAGGGGCCAGGACGGGGCGGGGCCGAGGTGGGGGGACAACTAGGGCGGCGGCGAGGTCGCGCCTTTCCCACGCCCGCCCACGCCCTCGCTCCCGCCTCTGGGAGCGCCCTGTCCCCTCCCGACCCGCACTCACCCGCCCGGGTCTCCCTCGGGGCCGCGGCCACCGCGAGCAGGAGCAGGAGGGCTGCGCCCCCCATCCCCCAGGACGCGCCTCCACCCGGGCTGGGGAGACGGAGTCCCGGCGGCGGGTGAGGGCTTTGGAACGGGAGCCGCGGGGCTGCTGATTGGCTGCTCTGGAGACCTCCAGGCAATGGGGAGTGAGCCCTGGGGTGAGTCACCAGTATCCAGGAAGGAGGACCCGACACAAACTGAGAGAGACGAAACTGGGGTGATAGGAAACCCCAACAGTAACTTCCAGCCCCAGACAGCGCCCTGGGGACTGAGACTGTTACTGAGCAGCCCCGATATAAAATGAGTTGCCTGACTGTGGGTCCTCACCCGCGCGCTTAAAAGGGACTTATTAATACTCCACTGCAGGCACACACAAAAGGTTAACAAAAGGCTTATTTACAAGGGAAAGGGAAATGAGGAAATGTCCAACTCAGGGAGAAAATAGGGAAATAAAGTCTTTAATGCGTCCCACCCGATCCGACGACCTGGAAACCCAATGGCACTCTGAGAGCTGGCCGGGCAAAGGAGCTGGTGGAGAGCCAATATGGGGGCCCTCCAAAGCCCACATGTCTTATTTTATACCAAACCTGGCTGCTTAACCCCACCCTCAGGTTCCAGCAACCTTCCCTTAGGTGGTGATGGGATTTGTCTTTCCCAATGTCCTGATGGCTTTGGTCTGGAGTGGGGGTGGAGTCCACAAAGCCTGCATGGGATTAGCTAAGAACATCCTTTTCCCCTCAACAAGACCTTGAGAGCCACACCCCCAATCCCACCCCTGCCCAGACCTGGGACTTTGCTGCCCCCTCCTCTCCTGTACCAAGACCTTTTGTCACACTGTTGCCTCCCTGAATCCAGGCCCAGGAACTGGGTCAGCGATTCTCAAACATTTTCCTTTCAGGATGTCTCTGCAGTCTCACAAATTATTATGGATCCCATGTATAATTTTTTATGTGGGTTATAGCTTTAAATATTTACTTTACTAGAATAAAACCTTTCAAAAAGATGTTATTATGCTGGGAGCCATGCTACAACTGTCGTCTGACAAGGGTCGGGGCATGGGGATTCCTGAAAAGTCAGGAATCTCTTTAGCTGACTCCTGCTAAAGTCTCATTTGTTTATGGCTAGTTTCTACCATTGTTAAAATACGCATTTAAAAGCAAAACTGCAAATGCTGTTTGATCAATTATGGAATAACCAATTTGACAGCAAATGGCACTTGATTCATTGATAACATTGGTTAGTTAGCATACAAATTCTAGACACAGGAAAAGGGGAAGGATGCAGATCTTTGAGACTGACCCAGGAGAACAACCAACCTAGCAGGCTGCCAGGCCTTGCAAGTTTGTCTTTTACTGACATTTCCATGTCTATGGCTCTTTACAGGGAAAGATTCGCTTTTCCTTAACAGTTCCCTTTCAGTGACAATGGGTATGGTAGCTGTTGGAGTATGCATTCAAGAGTAAGCCAACAACAATTTTGTGACTGGTTAAGCTAATAACCTTGACAGCACAAATAATGCACTTGGAAATAGTCAATGTTACAACTACTGATATGTCACGTATTAACAATTCTGAGAACCAAAAGCTATAACCATCTCTGGCCCTGCCTCTGATGAAATATTTGTAGTTCCTTAAAACAACAATCAGCAATCTTACAGAAAAAGGAATTTTCCCTTGATCTTAAAGTTAGATATGAAAACTAGGCTGAATAAATAAGTAGAGGAGTAATAGGTTAGATTCTGTTAGATTAGGAGAATTCCTCCCTTAATTGAGAGCTTG